TTCCAACTGTTTGGAATGACTTCCAGGATTTGCATTTTTTCCTCAAAGCCTCATGTACTGGGTATATTACAAAAAAAGAAAGCGCAAGTACAGTGGGGGTCCCCCCCCCCCCGTCTCTTAGTAAGTCTTTCCCATCTTTTCAAGATTTCTCAAAATGTATTACATATGTTTAAGCTACGCAAATACATTTTGTAGTATTTCTCAAATAAATAAAACAAGGATGTTTGCCCAAATTTAATGGAGGGGTCTGGTGCGGTGTTTTAACAGAACACAAATACACACATTTACTTCTAAATATAGTTTAAGTATAGTTGGCCAAAATACAAAGGCTTGTTACACACTTCTAAATTCTTTAATTTGATATTCAAAAGCCATAAACCCAGATAAACTAACTGGGTGATTAAGTGGCTTAACAAATGCAGGGACAGCATTAAAGATGCACTGTGCGCATTAATTTTATTCTACACGTTTGTGACTAGACTCCGGGCACACTGTTCTGAGCACACTGTCTGGAAGCTGTTGGAACTTTGGGGCTGCAGTAGGCATGGTCGACTGCGACTTTAGTGCCCCTTACCCTGCTACATAATCCACTGTTAGGAGAATGTGCTAGACTCTAGTTTTGGGATGGTTCTGCTTGGAGGGAGATCATTATTCCAACTCTGTTTCCTCCTTTTCACTGTTTTTGTTTTGTTTTAAAGATATTGATCTGCCTGATTAGAGTTGTTTAAATCTTGGTTGCTGAGAAGGTCAAGTTTAGATTTATTTATTAGTTGCCTTAAAAACCACTTTCTCACGTACTGGCGAATTTTAGTACCAAGGCAGTAGTTCTGTGGCTTTGTTTTTTCGGAAAGGTGGTGCTCTTAAGTTCAAGAATGTAAACAGGCAAATTTACTGGTGCATTTTATAGTAGCGCTCAGTCCTCAGCATCTTGGCAGATTGATATCAGCAGTAATAATGAGCTTTAAAGAGGTGTGAAGAATTTTATTGATGGTAAAGTGGTTATGTTGATCACATTACTTTGTATTAGTTTCTAAATAACACCTTCACATGTAAACAGATCAATTGTGTTTTTTTTCCAACATCGTCACATATAATCATAAAAGCCCTATATTGATTGATTTATAATGCCCTTTTTTTAATGTGCTGTTTTCAATCTCTGTAACCAGGAGGCGGAGCATTTATTTCACTTCATTTAAAGCAAAACTTATTTTATTTTAAATTATTTATTATATACAGAATATAAATTATCTATTCTACTTAGAAACTTTTGGCTATGTCAGAATTCCACAAAAGAAGCAGGAGCGTTGTTTGCGTTGCTCCCTTTCTTCTTACTCTATGACTGGTAGTAGAAAAAATGGCCAGATTGAAATCCTTAAAAATTTAAAATGTGGGCCTTTCAGACTGCAGAGACCTCCTGGGTTAAAAAAAAAAAAGAAAAAAAAGAAAATAGTGGCCCCATAGTGAAATGCTCAATAGGCACGATTGTGCTAGCCCCTCAAGTCCCGGTGTTCACTAATTACCCTTTAATGAGGTCAGTCTGCCCGGCTTTTTCCCTACCTTGGGAGGGAAAAGCACACAAGACAGTTGGAGTTCAAGTGGATCTTGCTGAATTTGCAACTTAGCATAACTGCTTTGAAGGCCCCCAGGGCGCTTAATTGGGGCTGGGCATTTTTGTTTTGGGGGAGACTACACACAGCTCCCCATTGTGTGTGTAGAAGCCACTGTGCATCTTGGAAGCATTACATGCTTTTGTTGATGGCGCATAGTTTTATAAACTCCAAATGAGCTTATTGCCTTTTAACCATTGGGAGCACTAAATAATGGAAGAACCTAGAAGTCTCTGGGTTGGGTAGCCGCCAAGCAGTTTGGAAAAAAAGGAAAAAAAGAATGAATGGTCTAATTGTAGAGCAAACCATTTGTTTACAGATTAAGATTTATTTGGTCACCAAATCCTATGGACCAGGAGGTAAAAGAATGAGGCCATAAGGTATAGGAATTGAATGCCCAGTGTTATGTTTTGTGATCATGCTCACCTGTTTTTACCCCTGTTTTTTGCAGAAGAAGAATGAATTGTTTAATGGTGAGAACTTCCTGGCCAAGTGTACTTTGTAAGCTGTAAAGAGAGAGGGGAGGAAGGCAGAGGCAGGTTGTCATTTCTTTGCTGCCTAGTCAGGAAGCTAAAAACTTAGCTTCTTCCAACTGAGAGAGGGACAGTGTGGCTGTTGCTGAATTTCCCTGTTTGTTCAAATGAGGGGGAATGGTGGTGGTGGTGGTGGTGGCAGTGGAGGTAGGGAGTAAAAATTAGGAAGAAGGTGTGTGGGAAAGGGGGTGGTTGGTGGAAAGGCTTTGTTAAACTGGCCCTAGACAGTGCAATGTCTTGAATAATTGCGACCGTTTACAGAAATGCCCCACTATTTCATTAGTTAGTGGCCGTGGTACTGAATAGAGAAGAACTCTGCAGCAGCCACAGTGAAGTGGTATAGCAGTTTGAGGAGGAAGAGCTGTTGCCTGGCAGCCAGAATTTCAGGATGTCTTTTTTTCTTTAGGACTAGATTATATCTTACAGTAGAAGACCAGAAATCATGGCGTTTGTTGCCATTGTAGTTGTAGTTTGTCCTTCTAATCTTTTTATGAATAATAGGCTTAAGGAAATCACTAGTAAAGTGTAGTTTTCTAGAAGTATCATTTTGAATACTCCCCAATTCACTGTTTTTATTTTTACATTAGTCTTCTTGGGAATCAAACCCTTTATCAAGTCAAAGTGCTCTTCTGTGTCTAAACTGCCACCGTAATGGTAACTCAGGATGCTTCCAAGTATTGTTTCTACATGATGTCTTTGTATTCTGTTTGGCCATGAAAAAGCCCATTCCTTCTGTAACATTAAAATCATTAGTTACTTGATGCATATTTGATAAATTGAACTTTTAAATATGTTAAGCTGGCTTAACATGATCTTGTTTTATTTTCTCCTTACTAAGTTCTGGTATTATTCTTTTGGTATCATGATCCTTTTAAAACGGTTTGATTTTTTGAGTCTAAATCATGGCTGATAGCTTCATTTTACAGATCTGTTTCTATTGGGGGGTGGTGAGCAACAGGAGGATTATGGGAATGGGGGAACAAAGGGTGTAAAGAGATAGCTCTGAATGTTTTCAGCCTTGTCAAACTAGTGACTTTTTAATGTTCATTCTGGATGCTTTTCTGTTATTATTTTCTATATTAGGGAAGAAAGAGACTAGATTTTACTTCTGTGAGCAATCCAACATAATTTTTAAAATTTCAGACTTTTAAATCTCATAAAATTTAGCACTGTCATAGTCACTAAGGAAATTAAATTTGTGTAAATAGCTTTTTAAAAATCATGCAAAAAAAAACACCCCAAATCATGTTTTACCAAAGAGGTAGGTCCCTGCAAATGCTCACCGAAGTTTGATTTCTTTGTGTGTTGTTCGACTGTTAATATGTGCTCAAGCTAGGTTTACTTAGCAAACCAAAACAAAAGTGCAAAGATAAAAACCATAGCTCATGTTAATATTTATGACAGCCTAGAGGCTTTGCAAGCTTGAAATCTCCTTGCGGTTTTAATCCCTCCTGGAAAGAAAGTTGGTTTTTTTTTTATCGGATTGTCAGTGCCTCCACAATGTGAATGCTTCTGAGGGTTTTAATCCCCCCTAAACATAGCGTGTATTTCAGTGAGTTTAGTTCGTGTTCACTTGCACATAAAGAACTGAGGAACCAGTGCTGAGCTTCCTGCATATTAACAAGGGTTCCCCTTGTCTCTGGTTCTTCCTCTCTAACCTGTTCTGTATACTAGGTGAGTGGATGCTTTTTGTTGCCCATATGAAATGTGGAAGGAAAAGTGCTAACCTTTTTAAGATGCTCTGAAAAATGTTTATAAACGTCCTTACACCAAAGTCTACTCCTTTCTGTTTCAGCTCATATTAAAGGCTTAGTTAAAGGCTCCTTTGAAAGGCCAGCATATGACACCATGGGCTGGTTATAAATTCATGTACATTATTTTCTTGTAGAAACCAGGTTTTCCACTTACCTGGACTTAGTATAGCCGTGGAGTTACTTCCAGCAGATAATCCCGTCCAGTTTTAGATTAATGGAAGTTCTGTAATATGTACGGCTATTTACTGGTGGTTAGATGACAACACGAAATCCCTTGCCCTTGTTGGATTTCAGCTCTCTGGGTATATTGAATGTTAAACATGTTGAATTTTCCTTTTCTGACGCTTACAGTGAAATCTGAAGAAGTTCGAACACTCTCGTACTAGAGAAATCTACAGAACGCCCAGTGTATTCCAATCACATTTTTACTGGTGTTCAAAACATAGATACAGATCTCATCAAATTGCCTCTGAGTTTGGCTGAGCAGCTTGTCAGCACACAGTAGCAGTAGGAGGAAGTTAAATGGTGATGGAAAAATAGGTACTGTTTTACCTTTTGTCTGTAAAATAAATTCTGAAAGGTTTTTGGAGAAGTTCATTTTGGGCCTGTTGTAACTCGCGTCTGGACCTAAAGAGTAGGACTAACTGTGCACATATTCTGTGTAGTGAGGGATAGCTGCCTCTGTGTTATTTGAGCCTGAATGTGCGTGCATAATTGGAGAGGTTATTGGAGAGAGAGTGTTTTGCTGTGGTAGATGTGGTGTAAATCCTAGCACTGAGCATACCATTTACTTTCTCAGCTTACCCACAAAATCTGTGACTAATTTAGTGAATGTGAAGATTTGAGTCCAGATGGTTAGGTTTAATTGTAAAAACTGGAAAGATTTCAAAGTACCCTTTGGGGGAGTGCGGGAAACAACAACTAAACAACAAAAAAGTAAAGTAACTGTAAGTCACTAAATATAGCATATTTGTATATTATATATTTATGAACACACAGAGACATACATACTTAAACATATATATATGCGTGTATGTATAGTCAAGGTAAAGCTTGAAGAGTTTATTTACCAGTCAGCATGAGCAGATAGGATCCAGAAGAGAAGTGATTTTTAAGGTTTAATGATTTAGTATTGCCTGTTTAAAGTGTTTCTTAATATGGAGGTGTTTGGCCTTTGCTGGGCTCAAAATAGGTTTCCTGTCAACGGTGTTAAGAAGATTCCACTCTCCTGTTACCCGCTAATCTTGGTTAAAGAGCATTGGCAGTTACCTCATCAAACCTTAGGGAAATACCACTCTTGCCCAGGCCTTGGGGGTGTCGCCTCGCGGTGGTGCTCTCTGAGGCCTGGGCCAGCCTGCTCCTCTGAATGTGCGGCTGTGAAGCTCAGGGAGGGAGTCAGCTTGCAGAAAGGGGCCCTTAGATGGTGCTCAGTGCTGTGGAAGGACGATCCTCCTTCTCAGTATCCACTTATTCTTCACAGTTCCTGCATTTCGTGGTCGTGCTGGAATGAGTACAATAATCTGAGCTGATGCTTTTAAAGCTACTCAAGACCATCTTCTTTTGCTTCCTCTGCAGATCAGAGTTTTAAGGATAGAAATTGGTCGCCTCCTCTGTTGTAGTTGGGACAGCACTGACCTAAATCTTGGGCCAGTAAATTAGCTTGGAAGTTTTAGGCTAATAGGGCTCTACAGCGAACTTTATTTGTGTTACCTGGAATTACAAGGAGAGACAGAGGGAAGAGCAATGTATCGCAGACAAGAGTTAGACCATGGGGCTCTTCATAAGATCTGCTTTGTTCCAGGGTAATGGCTGGGGTTTGTGGCATGGTGATCTACAAGGCAAGCAAATAGACACATTTCTTTCACAGGAATGGAAATATGCCCAAATATTTACATATAAACACATTTCATAATATTCAGAAAATGTAGAGAAGTGAGTTAAATTTCTATGTGTTATATTTACCATATATCCATTGCTTTAATATCTAATGAAGCCCTCAGCATTTTAAAATGGCACAAGGAATGAGCTTAAGGTTATCTTCCACGATAAGGAAGGAAAGCAGCTGGCTAGCCGTGTTGGGCTAGTGATTTTCAGATTATGGAAAACCTGTATAATAGAGGCCGAGAGAAGATGCTTCCTGAGGAGGAGGAAAAGCATAGATCTGAGGCTATTGTTGTCCGTATCATAGGAGAGTAAGATAAACGAAAAGGCCAGCACCCCAAATCAGAGGTGGTCTTTGCTTTGATTCTTGTAGCTAAGTCCTTTTAAACATATCTTTCTTTTACCTTCTGGTATGTTCCTATCTGCTTTGGGCCAAATTCTTCTCCATTTATCAAGAACTTTACCCTCTGCTAACAATCCATTGAATGACCCATAAGGTGATTTTAAGATGGTGCCACCAGCCTCATTGTGAGTAGACTTTTAAAGGCCCAAGGAATGGAGCTCAAGTGTAGGGACTCTCTTGGAGGAGGAGGGGCAGGAGAGCTTTCCTGGTGTCTTAATCACAGTCACCCTTTCTGCCCCTAAAGCTGGTGTGTGTAAAGCTGGTTTTGGAGAGAACCTCTTCTGTAGATGTTTCTTAAGATATTTGAAGCTGGCAACAAAGATGTAAGTGATGAGGTTGAAGCAGGGTCTAAAGTGGCTTTTTTTCCCCCTGATTTTACAATGGATGTTGTAAGAGACTTTCATAACTAATGTAAGGAGTGAGGATCACATAGGGACCTGATAGGCAAACGAGATCCTGAGGATTGATACTGCCATTAAGTTGTGGGGTGAGTCAGACTTGAGAGTAGTATAAATGTCATATATTTTTATTTTCCATATTTGCTAATATATTTACATATGTATGTACATTTATGTGAGTTGTGTTTTCTTCAGCTGCACGTTTCTAATATACCTGATGAATTTGAGGACTAGAAATAATATAAATAATGTGCATAACTGAAACAGATCTGTGAGGGCAGCTGTACAAGATCAAGGTTACTGGAATTCTAAGGGCACAAGTCAGAAAGTTAATGGGTGATAAGTTCACCAGTGTACCTCTCAACTCCTCTCAATTCACCGCAGACCAGAGTTCCCCACAGTTTGTACAAACAGTGGTACTTTTTATTTCTTCTGAAGCCTCGACTTGGGGAAAGGAGAGCGTTTTAGGGCTGACAGAGGACACGGTTGTGTATTCTTTCTGTTGGAAATCCTGCCTCATCTTAGGACACAGTGGAAAAGAGATTCGTTGGAAAAACGGAGTAGAAGATTTGCCTACTTATTGAGAGCCTCTTCTGTTGACATTTCTTTAAGACCTCTGACGCTAGGAGCTGAGTGTAAGAGATGAGGTTGAAGCAGGGTCTGATGCAGCTATGGTTTTGAAGCCCAATTACAGGGTGGAGAGCTGCATCGAGTATAAACTTGAGATGGGAGAGAAAGAACAGATTCAGCAACTGGCTCTGACTTGAGGGGAACCAAAGCGTGTTCTCCTGATTGATTGGATGTTTGTACTTTTTTCTGGACATGCTTCCTGGTCTCTCTCTTGGCTGACTGCATATGCTGTTAAATCCACCCAGAAAATACACACGGAACGTCTTCTGGACAGACCATGTCTAGATTGCATTGGGAGTTGGGCACAGGCCAGATCACGCAGGGCCTTGTAGGCCGGCCATTATAAAGAGTTTGGATTTTAATTTGAATATGATGAGGAACCTTAACAGAATTTGTAATAAGGGAGTGACATGATTTGGTTTGTTTCTGAAAACTTGCTCTTGACTGCTGTGTGGAGAATGGACTATAGACAAGCAAGAAGAGAAGTAGGGAAATGAGTTGCAGGACTTTTTTAGTAGTCCTGGCAAGAGAGGATAGACGCCTTTGGTAGTCATGGAGGTGGTGAGAAATGCTCACATGGTCTAAGGTGGTGAGGACGGGCCTTGGATACGGAGTTGTGAGAGGATGAAAATTAAGGATAACATCTAGAATTTTTGGGGTGGGTGGCATCAAGAGTTGGGACACACTTTTGATGTACCCCGTGGCTGCCAAGTGACGATGCTCAATTGGAGGGCCAGTGCTGGAGGCATAGATTGGAGGAAGTGGGTGTATAGGTGGACTTTAAAGTTGTGGGGCTGGAAGAAGTCACCTAGACAGTATAGTTGGAAAAGACAAGGGCCCAGGGCTGAGCCTTGGAATGTTAGGGGGAGCCAGCTGGCACAGCGTCCAGTGAGGAGGAAGAAAACCCAACCAGTCTAGCATTTCTGGAAAGCAAGTGAAGAAATTCTAGCAAAGAGGGTGAACTCAGATGTGTCAGATGCTGCCAAGAAGTCAGGTTAGGATGAGACTTGGAGTTGACTTCTGACTTTGGAAGGATGACTGTTATTGGTGATCTTAACACGGGTGGTCCTGGGTGAGGGATGGGGATGGGGAGATCAACGTCTGATTGGAGTGCTTGGATTTTGTGAGGGTGGTAAGGAAAACAGGGCATGATGAGAATAGCACACTTTTCTTTCTATAAGGGACAACGTGAGGTCAAGGCGTATGTATCTCTATCGTTTTTTAAAGTAGAGCACTCTAATAAGTAGACTGTTTGTATGCTGATGGGAATGATACAGGAGAGGGAGAGAAGCTGATCATACCAGAGGGAGAGGGGAGAAGGTGCCCTGGAGTAGGCGTGGGGTTGGGGTGGGGAAGATTTGCTGCATGGGTGCTTCTCTGGGCCCCTGGACTTGGGACAGCTCCTCCATCGTAACAGGAGGAAAGGCAGAAGATATGTACAGATGCGGGGGGGTTGGTAGGTTTTGTGCTGGAAAAATTAGGAATTTTTCATTTTTATCATTTGTGCAGGCTACTGTTGCTATGTTAAGGGATTCTTTTCAACACAGATATTTTGGACAATTAAATATTCATTTCTTCATTTATTCCCTTCGTCCTCCTACAGTTTAGAGAGCTTTGACTGTTTTGTGTTCTGACAACAGACATATTAGAAAGGGGGAGGTGTCAATGCAGGCCTCAATTTATTCTTTCATTTGTTCCTTTATTTATTCTTTCACTCAGCAAATATTTTTTTGAATGCTGATTATATGCCAAGCACAGTCTGGGTCCTGGAGATACAACAGTGACCAAAGTCTCTGCTCTCATGAGGCTTATATTCTAGTTTATTCTGGGCAAATAAATATCCTTCGGTTGATGTTAAGCACTGTAAGGGAGAATCAAGCAGGAGGAGGTGGTAGAGAGGGATGGTGGGAAAGGAGAGTTTATATTTATTTATGTTTGAGTAAGGACCCGAAACAGTGAGCGGGAGCCATCTAACCCCCTGGGGAGAGAACTTTCTAGACCAGGGGTACAGCCTGTCTATAAGCCCTGGAGGACGGAGTGTGTTTGGTGTGTTCAAGGAGACACCAGGGTGGCTGGAGCTCAATGATGGACAGGGGAGAGTGCTAGGAGATGAAGTCCAAGAAGGAGCATGAGGTCAGGCTCCAGGGAGCCGTGAAGAACCAAGAAAGACTCAGAGATGGGAGGGACTGGGGGTTTGAGCAGGGCAGGGCCGGGCTCTGACTTACGTCATAGAAGGATCTCAGTGCGTGGAAACCGCCCCTAAGCCTTAACTTCTGACTCTATTCCTCAAGTCTTTTGATTGTATTCTAGTTTCGAAGTGGTTAAGGGAGATGGAGGTGTTATCTTTTGTGAATTATGTCAACAGCTTTCAGGTGCAAGATCGTAAATTTCAAGTTTTTTTCAGTGTGTACAAAACGGTACCTTCCTCAGAAGACACTGAAAAGAGACTATTACAAGAGAAAAGAAAGAAAAAAAAAAGAGAGAGACTATTACTTTCCCCAGAGCAAATGTCTTCTAGGGGTTTGTAGTGTATACACACACACATGCTGTTGTATTAATGTAGTCAATAATTATTAAAATTCTGAACAAGAGAAGTTTAAAAAGATGAGGTAATAGCATAGATAGACATTTCAGGCTTTTTTTTCTTGCACCCCACTGGATCTCTTGCATACTCTCTGGGGATTTCACAAGCCTCCTGGTTTGGAGACAGGTCTAAAGCCCTGAGGAACTTGTTGGATTTATTAAAAATGCTGTCTAATTAGCTTTTTTTTTTTTGAGGAAGATTAGCCCTGAGCTAACATCTGCTGCCAATCCTCCTTTTTTTGCTGAGGAAGACTGGCCCTGAGCTAACATCCGTGGCTATCTTCCTCTACTTTCTATGTGGGATGCTTACCACAGCATGGCTTGCCAAGTGGTGCCATGTCCCCACCCGGGATCTGAACTGGCAAACCCCGGGCCACCGAAGCGGAACGTGCACACTTAACCACTGTGCCACCAGGCTGACCCACTAATTAACTTTTTTTAAAGTTAAAAAAAGCAGTGCATGAGTCTGTAGAAGTTTAAACTGTGCTATAATATTATATAATGGAAAGTAGGTTTTACTTCCCCCTTAGACTTGCTCCCCAGAGCCAGCTACTTTTTACAGTTTTGTATGTTTTTTCTCAGATAGTCTCCATATGTTCAAGCATAGATATTTGTATTTCTTGTCTCCTTACATAGATCAGAACATATTGAAGAATCAGGTCTGCGCCTTGCTCTTTTCACATACCTGTACGTCTTGGATATCATATGTTCCCTTACTACCTTCGATTCTATAATTTATTTAACTGATCCTCTACTAGTAGCATTTAGGTGTTTCTAGGCTTTTTTAGTTACAGAATGCTTTAGTGAACATCTTTGTACGCATGCATTTCGAAATTTAATTGTCCCCCAACTTGATTGCATCAGTTTGTGTTCCCACCAACACTGGAACATGAAATGCCTGTATTTCTACAATTTCACTAATACCAAAAAATTATAATTTGGGGGCTTTAATCTGTGCTAATTTGATAGGAATCCATTATTTTAATTTGCCCTTTTCATGTGTACACGTCATTGTATCTCTATTTTTCTACCTATTGACAATTTATAACTTCTGATATTTCCTGATGAGTTAGCCATTTCTCATTGATTTTAAAGTATTTCAGTGTATATTAATTAAATGCACTTTTTTCATGTATTGCAAATATTTTTTCACGTGCTTGTAAATTTTCCCCCATCTCTTCACTTGTCTTTTGATTCTGTTCATGCTAGTTTTTTCCCTGTGTAAATGTCTTAAATTGTGTAGTCAGGTTTATAATTAATTTCCTTTGATGACTTCTGGGTTTTGTGTTGATGTAGGAAGACATTTTTTTCCTCCAAGATTATTAAAAATTGTTTTTTCTTGTACTGTTTTCTGATAGTTTATCTTTATAGTCTTCAATTGGAAGGTGAATATGATTTTCATCTTACTGGCCTTTGGGGTCATATTTCCATATGAATAATTTTTGATCTAATACCCCAAATCCTTGAATCCTTAATTTAAAACATTGTTTCTTAATCAGCGCTGTGCATCTGAATCACCTGAAGGATGCTTAGTTTTTTTCCTTTGCCCAAATACCCAGTCCCAGGTCCCCTGTCCCTTTTCTGATTGTCCCCTTGAGAGGGGGACTCCTTTGGGTACATTTAGAAAAAGCTTCAGATAGCTCATTTGAAGATGTCTTTTTATTTTTCTCTCAAAGGCAGATATTAAGAATGGTTATTAGAATTTCCTGTTTTTTTTTTTTTTTAAGGTTCTTTATAGAAAAATTACCCCAATATTGCTTTAAATATGACTTCATTAAGTGTTTTACAGGTGGTTAATTAGTGTGCCTGGTCAAATGGGAGTAGAGCAGGAAGGACTAATGATTTGCAGCTTCAGCCCTAGGAGTATTTACAGCCAGGTATCCCTTACGGTGTTTACTAGAATCCTAGAGCAGAGATATCCCTGCACAATGAACTGCTTAAATAGTAGAGATGAGCCATGGCTTTGCTTAGTTAGCCATTTGGGTTTAGTAGCATGTAGATAATGCCGTGGAGGCAGGCGGAAATGTTTGGGCAGTGTAGAAAGCATGCAGCTCTAAGTGTTCCTGCTGTAGGTCTGATCTGTGGAAGTCATCTCTTCTGGTCAGCTGGGTTTCAGAAAATTGCCAGTTTGCTGTGGTGCCCTCTTAGTCACCAGAGCCTAGCTAGCAAGCCCCGCTGATGTTGGCCCCACGTGGCCCTCAGGTAGATTGTTCCCTGTAGCGGCCTGTTGCTCTGATTCCTGCCTGGGTCATGATCCGGGGCGGAAGCTCTGGAACTAGGAATTGGGAGACTGGGACCCACTTGGTGTTTTGGCTTGGACTTCTTTTATGACCCTGAGCAAAAGCCACTGTCTCTGGGCCTTAGTTTCTTCTTGGAGTATGTTTTCTGAGTGTCCATCCAGTACCAGAAAGAGTTATAATTTCCCCTATTCTTAGTTCTTGCAGTAGAGACAAGTATATTGTGTCTGTACTTCTCCTGTTTTGTTGCTCTTATCTGTGAATGCACGTTTCCCCTGCTAGCCTGTATGCCTTTGAGGACATGGATGCCATCTTATTTATTTTTATCTCCCTAGCACCTAGCACTGTGCCTGATTCCCTTTTAGTAGGGTTGCAGAGAGAGGAGGGCCTCAAGGCTGGCTCCGCTGGGTCCACATCTTTTGTCCTTTTTTGCATGTAGAGATCACAGGCAAAAACATTGCTGGGAATTAAAACATTTCTGGATTTTCATATATCTTGCATTTATGTGGCATTTTAAATTCTTTAAAGCACCATCATGTGTATAATCAGTTGTATCGCACCTGCTTTCCCGGGTCTGGTAGAGCGTGTCTGTTGCATTTTAAAGAATAAAGATGAAATGCTTTGCCCAGAAGGGTTATGCTGTGTCAGAATAACAGATTGCAATGGCATCCTGTTTGTTGGCAGACTTTTGTCTGATGATTTCTTTGTCACCCACAAAACCCTCAGGGCTAAAATGGAAGGCTACTCTTAAAAAAAAAAGTCATTATTCAAGTAAGAGAGAAGTGTCTGTTATACCTTATAGCTTAAATGTGACCTTGGGAAAATTGTTTAAATCAAATTAACAATCTAACTTGCAAAAAAAAAAAAAAAAAAAACGCCAGTCCAGGAGTTCGGAGTGTAATAAGATCTTGGAAACTCAGGCATGAATTTGGCCCCTTTATCTTTGGTGAAATTTGTGTAAGAACTTGGAGCACAGCCCACTCTGATAGCTTTGGTGTGTAATCATGGATTACCGTCGTATGTCATTGATAGTCATAACTGTTAATGAGAACAGTGGTTTGATTTTTACCTTGAAGTTTCCTATTAAACTCATATTATTAAAATACATTTTCAAAAAAACACACTTGCAATATACATTTACTAGATTGAAACTATACATATTGATTGTGAAGGTCTTTTTCACCTGAGCGGGTTGCATCAGATTGCCAGGGCGTGGCTGCCGTTCTTCTAGAGTCTCTACTGAGCTGTGTGCTTCTCTGACACTGAGAGCTTTTGCTGGAAAAGTGGTGGAGAAAAGAAACCTCACAATGAGATGTATCGTACAAGATGACGATGACCATGCCCATTAATGAGAACTCTGACATCTTTTCGAGTGGGCTTCCACCACAGCATCCACTAAGCCTGGAAGAATAGTTTCCTTTGAAGATTCCCCCCAACCCTTTGAAGTTTCCCAGATGAATTATTTACTCAGAAGGCCATTTCCTTTCTAATATCAAAAATGCCATCAATAATTATTAATCTTTGTATAATGCCATGCATCTAGCTGCCCAGGGAATGTTTATTGAATTCGATCTCACTGCAAATTATGTTTAAGTACTCCTACAGCCATATCCTGTTGGGTTTTATGACAGCGTCTGAAGGTCATCAGAGAACATGTTATTGCTCTGGTTTGACAGGTAAGGAGACCGAGGTTTAGAACCCAGGCAGTGCCTTTACTTAGCAAACATGGACAGAGGATGCACAAAAGAAGCCCCGCTCTTGCCTTTGATTTTACCACCAGATCCATGCTTCTTAACTCTATTTTGGCTTAAGATTTTATTGAGCATGTATGGACTCACTCTCTACGAGGAAAAAAGAAAAAAAGAAAGTGTACCTATTACAAACACGTAAACCTTTGCTTTTATAATTACAGGGTTTCTTAGACTCCACAAAGTCTTTGAACCCCAGGTAAAGAATCTCTGATCTAACAATTGCTTGTCAGCTAGCCCTTGAATTAAGTGACTGACTTAGGGGCCAAACAGCTTGACTACTGAGAAGCAACAGGGACCCCATGCTTCTTTTTCCTCCCCTAATGCTCTTCCCACTACCCCATGCTAAGTTTGAAATGATGAACAACAAATGAGATATTAGCAAAACACTCGTGTTCTACAAATAAAAATGCAAACAGATCTCTAAGTGGCAGGGGAAACCCAGGCCGTGCATTTTGTAGTGTGGTTTCTCTTCATATATTAGGGAGCCTGCTGAAACCCCACTAAACTGTTAGTTGCCAGCTGTTTGGTTTAATCTGATCATTTACAAAAATATAGCAGTCCTCTCTGGTGCGTATGTTAAATACTGATATCACTGAAATAAATGCTGTGCCTGTGGCATATCCTTTTGCAAATGCTTTCTATATATGGGTTGTGAGAGCTGGTTTAATTCTAATTGCAGAAATATCAGTGGGATTTATATCTGTCTTCCTGAGATGATTGGAAAGAAGGAATTTAACTTAAAGTTAGAGGCCACATTTTGATTTTTGTTCTGCATTGGAAAGAGCCATGTTGATTTGAAGAAACTCATTAATGGGCAGGTTAGTACCAGTAGTTGTCTCTTAGTTAATTAAATTTTGGTGGATGGTGGAAGTATAAGAAATATGAGAGATTTTATAAAATTTCCTATTTTGAGGATAGAGAAAAAGCCAATGGATGTTTCTACCATGCATATTAGTTTAAAAATAATTCAACGATGCCGTCCTTTGTTTGATTCCAGCATTATAAAAGGGACATGAAGAAGGCTTGCCTGTCTTTCTTCACCAAATAGCAGTTTTGCAGACCCTTACAAGTTCCCATATGTTAGTGAAAAACATTTTCCAAGAAATTGGCAGCATTGCACTTGGTAGCTGATGCCAGCTTCTTCCTTGGGCCAATTCAACAGAGAAGAGAAGAAAAAAAAATGCCTTGTGTTAGTGGCTGAATTACTCTGACAAGCTTTCACATTGCCCCTCCTCTTATTAATATTCTTTTTGATGTGAGCTTGTAAAACAGAGGATTGGCTGTTAATCTCCAAGATCTCAAGGGCTTTTGGCAGTGGCCCATAATTGATGTGTTCACATGGCTGTTGTCTGACTACTAATGATTAGACAGCAGTGTTATCTACCAGCTACATCAGTGTTGCTTATAAATCACACTTGATAAACTGCAGTTTCATTTCTTCAAAGAGTCTGTACGTGTCTCCATACTTTGATAGAACTGCCAGAGGCATTTCATGGTTCTATGACAGCTTAGATTAGGTTTATTTTTCATTTCTGTTTGACAAAATATTAGACTTTCGAATGCATGTGAGAGAGAATTTTTTTGGTCCTCCTACAAGGCACTTGGAGAACGACAGGCAGAGAAAGATTACCTGCTCTCGGTGGGAAGGTGTACAAGTTGGGTGCCAGGTCGATTTTTGCCTTTGCTGTTCATGTCGAGGTGAATGGAGCGGGGCCAGGCCGCTCTGAAGGAAGCGAAGAGCTACCGGGTAGGAAGTTCTCAGAATGTGGGCCTGTACTCAGATTGTGACATGGCTGGGGTCGGCCATCTAGAACTGTGAGATTGCACTGACTGTTCAGTCATAGTGTGTGCTCAACCCACGTGTCAAGGTATGACTCTGCTTTATAGAAGGACAAGAGAAAGCAAGGAGCTTTTACCGGAGGAAGAGGTAACAGCCACAGAAATTGTTATCTGTCGTCCTCCTCCACTGCCCCTGTGGGGACACTTCACTGGCCCCAGGGAAACCCAGAGGGCTCTGGGCACTGCAGAGATGAAACCAGGGTGCACACTGCGCACACACAGTGGGCTTTGGGAACCTCTGCTCAGTCTTGGGCCCTTATTCTACTGTAAACTGCTGTGCCCTTGAGCTAACTATCCTCATCTATACCCCCGCCCCCGGAAAGACCCTAAATGGTTTCTAAGATCATTTTGCTGCTTTCCTTATGTACTTTTGCATATCCCTGCACTGTTATTCCAGAACTTCTCAAAGTCTTTTTGCTAACGTTAGCTAATTAATCTTCACTTAATTCTTAAGATCAAATATTAGATTTCAAAGAAGTAGTTCTATCATAAATATTTGGATTTTAAGAAATTTTTTAAACCCAGTTTAAAAAATCACATTGCTTTTAAAAGATGTTTATATGGGTTTAAAGTGTGTCAGAAGTTAAATATTTTATCAAAATTTACAACTTTTATTCAGAATAAAATTATGTGGCAAAGATCGTAGTAGGGGTTTTGTTAATAAATTGTTATAGTTTAAAGAGTTATTAGAGCTCTAGAATATGGGGATTCAGGAGAAGGCATTGAACACCAAAGCTACGTGAAACAAATTTCTCCCACCCAACCCAACCCCACCCAAAGAAAACAGAAGTCACATAGGATCTCAGAGTGCTTCAGAGTTATTATGAAAGATATTTAAAATTGTTGGTTAAAACAAATGCTTGATAGATGTGCTTTTAATATACTATTTGGTATTTTACATACATAAAACTGTTTCTTCCTACTTAGCTTCTCACTCGTGTCCTCACTTCTAGGTGCCAAATTTGTTCCTTTAACTGCCTAAGCCTGGCTTTGACGTGAGCACTCCTTTTCCCCAGTAAATGTTAGGGCTGTAATTAAAATGAGCACTATAGTCAAGGAATAAATGTTTATCGACAAGTATTAGCATTGAAGAACAAAGGTACTTAACTAAAAGCCGCTTATCTTAAAATGATTTGTGGTTGAAGGAAATACCCTTTTTTTATTAAGCAAAACAATTTAAATGGAAGTTGTTTTGGTAATGGTTATTAGATTTTAATGCACTGTGGAAAAATATTCATGATTAACTTAGAGAAGATAGTCTTTGGGTGATGTAAATGGATGCTTCGTTTAGTAGTTTTGATACATAAAGGAACTCTATTAGAGTTTCTAATGTAGCTGTAAAATGTGAAAATCTATTAAAAAGTATTGAGTATGATTTTGATTATATAAAATATGTATGCATATGTAAGGGCTGGATGGTAATATTAAAAATAAAAACGAATATTTTTAAAGGTTTTCTATATCATCTTTAAGTAATTTTTTTTAAGAAAGTAGTGTACGTATATATATCTATGAGTTTTATGAAATATTCCACCATTATGTCAACAATAAGTATGCATTCTTTAAGTTTAAAAAGAGATCAGTTCTTCTTGACTGATGATTTAAATCATAATTCAAATCAACTTGATTTGAATTTAGCTTAGTCTAATGCAAACACTGTTTGCAGGTGTTTATCGACTAACTGGAATTTGCTGTACTATTGAGGGAGCACATAGTAGAAATATGCGTTTTAATATAAATATGGGAAGCTCTATCGCCCATGGGGTGCTTATATTTTGATATTAGTATATAGAATATGTCCCCCATCATTTGCTTTGTTTTTTGGCTACATCATACAAAATTTCTTGTGCATTGGTTAAAAGAAATCTTGGATAGGTTATATTATCCACTAAAAAGTTGTGGCCACCTGTTTATTTTGGAGCCCACCTCTTAGGGTTCTATGTGAACAAGGTTTAGGGCAGGTTTATTTGATAGATAGGAGATTGGGTGACTTGCCCCTAAAATTAGTCTTAGTAATTTGTTATAGCCATCTAAAATCTATTCTGAAATAAGACACGTAGTACAATTAAATATTCTGGAAATACAGATGCTAAGATGTGTGACCCTGTCCCCCCCCCCCCCCCCGACCTAGGCCCTCATTCCTTTTCAACACTAAAGAGTAAATAAAGTAACTAAAATGGATTAGTGACTGTGCTAGTATAAATAAATAACCATATTCATTTTTATTTACATTTGTGCATTCTTTCGAGACTATTTTCACAGAGTTTATTTTGATTCCTAAAGTACCCCTATAAAAAATAACTAAGGCAGGCATTTTTAATGCCATTTTTTGGATGCTCACACTAGAAGGCACCAGTTTCTGGAAGCTGAACAATCGTTCTTCTCAATTAAAATCAAATGGTATACCTAATTCTATATCTGTAAATGTTCAATTATAGATCCATCTCCAGATGTTTTGAAGTTTTTAATTTCTTTTGAAAAATCATCCTCTGATTTTCGGAGACCATAGTAGCTTGTTTTTAATGTGCTGGTTTAGCCATGTGACAAATTGAACAAGGCTAGTAAGCATGTGCTACTGAGGTTGGTGGAAACAGTGTGTGCTGTGGATAACAGTAATAGCTAACATTTGTTGAACACTTATTATGTGATGGGATAATAAGGGCTTTTATATGGATTATCTCACTTAAAGTATCTATTACATTAAATACAAGTCAGTAATACTATGATCCCCACTTTATAGGTAAGAAGCTAAGGCTTAGAAAAGTTAAGTAAAATTGTAAGATTATGCAGCTAATAAGTAAATGATCTGAGAGTCAAACACAGAGACTTGTACTGTCATTTATAACATTCTATCACTCAGTTCTAAAGTGTTAGTGGGACACTTGGCATGAGACATTGACCTGTCTGTCATTATACTCTGAGAAGTAGCTTCTGGGACTGACCATCTTAGTTGTCCCATTCATGACTTTAGACAGTCCCATGTAGACTTCTGGATGAAAGAACTCCAGGTTTCTGAAAAAACTCGGTTTTCTGGGATTGCTTAACTCCTTTCTAGTCCCCAACAAGATGTGTTTGAGAACAATTCCTTCATCTAATTCATTCACTTATGAGGGAATTAAGATAAAATATCCTGGTTTTCAAGATTAAAATATTACCAAAAAACACATCGCAATTACACAGGATCCTTAAGTTTCCATCACTCCCATATGAATGAAGAGGAGTAGTTTATCTACAGTGTTGTTTTTTCAGAAAAAAATTGACTTGTGTGTAAGCTCTGTGCAGGCAGGGATCTCATGTCTGTTTTGGTTATCATTATATTAGTGCCGAGCATAATGGCTGTCATAATAAAGAGCTATTCAATAAATATTTATTGAATGTTTTAAGTTATGGCTGCTTAACTTAGAATTGAATTATGCCTCTTTGTGTCTTTTTTCTGGGTTATGACTCCTGGGTTTTATTGGGAGAGCTAGGAAGCAGTGGGTACATTAAATTTTTTTTTCTTTTTCCCTCATTCAGAAATGGATCTCTATACTTACTTCTTATTTCCTGTACTTCTCCCCACTTTCTGCTTCCGTTTTTTCCTCCTTCCTGCTGTCTTCCAACATCTCCTCCAACCCCTTCTTCTCCTCCCTGCTAACATACATTAGTCCAAGGTTGAATGTAAGTGAGCTATTCAAAGTACAGGCATTTCCCATGAATTAGACCAGGAGTCAGCAAACGCTTTCTGTAAAGGGCCCATAGTAAATATTTTAAGCTTTGTGGGCCCAATCACAAAATCGTGCATGTTAATATAGGTACTTACATGGTGAGGGAGAGAAAAGAATTTCTATAGATTTTTATTTTTTTAATTGATGAAAATTAAAATTTAATAATAGTAATTGAGTACAATTTGTAATACAGGTCTGAATGGAATTCTCTTTTTATGAGGGTGGTGGTAACATTTCATTTAATATGGGTCCAAAGTTAGTCGTTGCTATCATTAAATTGATTGTAAAAATTCATTTGTAGAAACAGTTCTTAGCTTGCCAGCTGTACAAAAAGTTGGCAGTGGGCCAGATTTGGCCCGCCAGCCTTCCTTTGCTGACCCTTGAACCAGACCAGGGACTAAAGATGGCCTGAGCAGGGTAGACTGCCCTGCATCTTCTTCCTCTGTAAAGGCTCATTGCTCCTAGACTGGAAAGAGAAGTTGTTCACTTTGGGGTAAATGGGATTTGTAGGCTGGGAGCAGCAACACAGAGAACAAGGAAGCATTTTTAAAAGTGAAAGAGTAGGAAGATAAGGAAGAGAGGGTTTATTTCTGTTCAGGGCTGAGCAGTGATTCTCAATGTGAGGTGCCTTGGATGCTTCAGGACATCGCTTTGGGAGGGGCAGGATCAGGTGAGCGCAGTTTGAAAAAGCGCACTCAGGATGCCCACTGCTTTTGTGATACAGCCTCCTGAGGTGAAAGCCTCATTCTTGGCGGCCAGTGACACAAAAAAGATGGAGGGGGCTGGCTCTTGGGGTTGGAGTCATCTAATGGAAAAGAGGTGGCTGCAGCCATGGTGTTGAATCATTATTTCTTTGCCAGGATTGAAACAAGAGGTCCCAGGGAGGTGTAGGAGCCATACTATGGGGCTGCCAACGACTGTTAGGGTGAAATTAAGGGATACGTGAGGAATCACTAGCCTTTAAAAAGCTAGCGGTCTTGCTCTTTCTTCTGGTAGGTAGAAGGTCGGGAGGGGCCCCGGGCCAGCTCCTCAACGGTGGGCATTATCTCCTCTTGACTTCTCTGTGGTGTTGGACACCAGGCCTCTCAGACGGCCCCACAGGCGATCCTCTGCCCACATTCCCTGTCGCAGGGAATCATGATGTCCTCATCAACTGAGACAGAAACCCCAGCCTCCTCCTGGAGTTCACCCTCTTCCCCGACCTTGCTGAACGCCGCTTTCCT